TTTTTATAAAATATTGACATACAAAATTAAGAAATAAACAAATTTTGACTAATCTAGTCTACTTATTTAAACAATGTTTAAAGAAAAAAAGGAAGAATTTAAAAAGAAAATGATTGGGAAAAAAGAAAAATAACAATGCTTAAAATAAAAGGGGTAGATTTGTCCAAACATATCATTCAAGGGGACAAAATGCAATTAGGTATTTACTTTGTGGGGTTTTTTGCATTTAACCCGGGCAAATATACTATTATACTGTCATTGACTAAGAAAACAAAGGAAAAGGGGTAATAACACCTATCAATATTGCTAAATTGAAACACCTATCAATTCTCTATATTTTTTGTTCCTAAATACGAAGCGTATCATATATAAAATGGGCAAATATACTATTATACTGTCATTGACTAAGAAAACAAAGGAAAAGGGGTGATAACACCTATCAATATAGCTATCCTCGAACAATGCAATATCATTTCAACAAATTGTAACTTATTATTAATTACTTGCGTAGGTTTTTTTTTCGGAAACGATAAACCTATTTCATCCCACACTAAGAGGGAGGAGGCGGATCTAAGAAGGTCCAGAGATAATTCGGAGGAGACTGAATTACCACCGGACCAGACGGATACACAGCACACCCACTTGAATTTTTTTAAAAACAAATCATTTAAATGTGATATTTTTTTATGAGACTTAGGTGGTGGCCACCAGTCGAAAGGTTGATGGTTCAACATTGCGATATTCAATCACTGTTTATGTAGATATCGTACACAATAATTGCAGCTCTATTACACCTTTTATCATAGTTATTAAACCCAACCCGGGAAGGAACCCGGCGAAGGGGGTGGGTCAACGGGTTACTGGTTCGACCGGTGGGTGAGTGGTTGAACCGGTGGGTCACTAAATATATTTAAATATTATATTTCATAATTTTTTATATAAGATATATGATATAAATTGTAATAAATAATGCCATAGTAAAAGCTCATTTAATTTAATTTGCTATAAAATAATTAATTCATATAAGAATCAATTAAATATAAAGTTATTTAGTAATACACCAAACTTCAAGTGTAAAATTTTATCTATATTTAGTGTAATAATGTAGCTTATTTATGAATTTTAAGTGTAAAAAATTATTAAATTAATATTTATCTTTGAAATGAATTATGTAATGTGTTATTTTTGAAATTCATTTTATAAATTATAGAGTTTGGAGGGTACTAATTTTTATTAAAAGATTTCAAATAAATTTATTTTAGAGAAAGAAAGATAGAATTGAAAAAACATATATATATTATAATAAAGTCCTTTTATTAACAAATTTTGGAGTAGCTTAGTGGTAAGCATGCATTATTGATTGGTGGAGGTCCAAGGTTCGAGCCTTGACAAAGGCAATAAAATTTTTTCACCAAAAACGGGCCGAGAACGGTCCGTGGACAAACCTGGCCGGGTTTCCCGGTTAGCCCGGTCCGATCGCCGGGCCGTTGACTAGTCAACGGTTCCGTAGCCCAAACGATCTAATTTAAGACTCGGCCCGGCCCCAATGGCCGGTTCACCGGTTCGACTGCCGGGCTGGGCCGGATTTAATAACTATGCCTTTTATACGGACTACTGTTCCTGCTTCATTTCCACAAGTAAATGGACAAAAAAATTTTTCACCAAAAACGGGCCGAGAACGGTCCGTGGACAAACCCGGCCGGGTTTCCCGGTTAGCCCGGTCCGATCGCCGGGCCGTTGACTAGTCAACGGTTCCGTAGCCCAAACGATTTAATTTAAGACTCGGCCCGGCCCCAATGGCCGGTTCACCGGTTCGACTGCCGGGCTGGGCCGAATTTAATAACTATGCCTTTTATACGGACTACTGTTCCTGCTTCATTTCCACAAGTAAATGGACAAAATGTAGATGAAAATATCTTCTGGAACCATGGAAGGTAAAGTCAATACTTGTAACTTTTCCCCCAAAAAAAAAAAAAAGTCAATACTCGTAGCTGTACGGCGTCACAAGGGCGGCGTCGTATGAGTTGTAGTGTTGAATGGACAAAAGTGACGCAATTGATGTTTGTCGTTATGAGTTAATCCATTTCCCAAATGCAAGCCTACGAGTTAAGTTATTGTTTTTTGACTTCCTGCACTTGGTTTTATCCTCTCAATTTTCATTTCCTTCTCCTTTTCATTTTCTGATTAGTCTAATACGTATTTAATATCTGACAAATACCTTGTTGATGGTACGGCATTATCTAAATTAATCTTATCAATTGGAGGCCATCTTGAGAAGTCTCTTGTTGGAGGCTTCGAATGGTCCAAATATTATCCGCTAGATCTTTTATTATTTTAGTTCTTTTTCTGTGGGATAAGAACTAGGTCTTTTCTCCTTTTATTTTAATATCTTTCATACAATTTGTCATCCTATTGAAGTTTTGGAATTTCTTTTTTTTTTTTTTTCTTTCTTGATTGCTTACCCTAAACTACGATTACCCAATTCTTGTGGAAATTTGACTTTGTGATATTCTGTTACACAATTTTGATAAGGCAAAGTCATTATCACTTGAGTTCACGCACATACTCTCCCTATATATGTATACATTTATTCCAATTAGATATGTACTGTGCAATCTACATTTTTCTTAAATTTGTAGTAATCCTTTCATTTATAAGAATAAATTTAGAAACTTGTTCTGAGTTTTTTGCTAATGGAACTTAGCAGTCTTGAAGTTTCACAAATATCACTTACCTTTCCTTTCAGTTAGATGGAACCTCTAATCACCTCATAACATTTGAATTGATAATATTACCCTTGCTACTTTAATAATTCTTTAGGGAAAAAAGTATGAAAGGGAAAAACCAAATTGTTAAAAATAAAATGGCTATTTTACCTTTTTTTTTTGCAGTTAAACTATCTCACTTAGTTAATCCTCCTATTCCAGCCATATATTACAAGATCTATGCTATTCTAATAATTGATTAGGGAAAAAAAGAATCTAGAAGAGAAAAATTCAGAATCAACAAAAATAATGATTTATTTTAACAACTATTGTTGAACTTAACAATCCTCTCCAAATTTCTTTGTTGAACTTAACTATTGTTGAATCACATTAAATCACCCTGGCTTGTCTAAAGTTTATTTAGGCAAAAAGATTGGAAGAGAAAATGCCAAAATGCATAAAAATAGCTATTCTAACAACTATTTTTGGACTTACCCTTGCTATTCCAAAACTTATATAGGTGAAACAAAAAAAAAAAGAAAAATTGAAATCCAAATGGGTATTCTAACAAATATTCTACTTACCTAAAAAAAAAATTTCTTTCACTTAAAAAATCGTTCCACCTACTCTTTGTCCTTGTTCGTCAACCTTATATTAAATTACTATTCTATTCTAACAATCATTTGTGCAAAAAATTAGAAATAAAAAAAATGCATAAATTTGGTATTCTAACGATTATTTTTTAAAATTATTCTCTCCTTTATTATTTCTAGTCCTCCTATGCTAAACTTATTTAAATCTCTCATAATTCTAATAGTCATGTAGGCAACGGAAATCTTAAAAAAAAAAACCCTTAAAGATGTTAAAAAGATACTAATCTAACAATTGTCATTGCATTTGACAAAAACGCCTCCCTAATTTTTAAAATACGAATCTAACAAATGTCGCGGCAATATTATACTAACAATTAATTTGATAGAAAATTCAAAATAGGACAGCACAAAAGGACAGAGTAGGAATGAAAATATATCTTGATCCTTAAATAATTATTTTTTAATATGCTTCTGATATTGGACTAACATTATTGTAACAAAATATATGATTTGAGGGGAGGTGAGTGATATTTTTAAAATTTCAGGGACTCTAAATGATATTAGCACACACCCTAGGAGAGGTTTTTGAGATTATTCCTTCATTTATATATTAGATTTTGACTTTGATTTTGCTTGAGTACTAACTACTACCTACCTTTAGTACCATTGGGTCTTGCAAAGTTTATGTCGTGTACGCCAGCCCCTCGAAAAACCGAAGTACATGACATCGAAAGAGCAGAATTCATATACAGCCTAGATTTCACGAAGTACAAAAAATCAACCATTGAAAACACACACCAAAAAGAGTTTCTTCACCAAGATGTCGATATAATAAGAGAATCTAATTACACAAGAATAAATTAAATTAACAGCTGATCATGTAATGCAAACTGAATGGAATTTTTTTCATATTAACACTACAAGTCCGAATACAATCCGCAGAAAATACTGGCCAAAATGCTTGCATTTTATATCAGTAGTTTCATTGAAATGTTAACTTTTATTGGCTGCCAACTCAACTTCCTCCATGATTCTTTCTTTGTTGATGACCATGTAAAAAAGAGCTTAGAACTTTTCTTTTGGGTATGTATTAAAAACTTCTTCAATCAAATACAAAAAAAAAAAAGGGAAAAGAGAAGAATGAAAAAAATGAAAAAGAAAAAAAGAAGTATGAGTTCCAAGACCCATTTAAATTATTGTCCTTATTTACCAAAATAATTTAATATCAAAATAAGAACTTCCTCGGTCCGTAAATCCGTACCAACTTCCATGTTTCAAAGTCAAATAAATTCAATAATCAATTTATGCTACCTGTAAATATAATCACACCCAAGTTCTAAGGTCAAATTCAATAATGCAATTCCCAATATTAAAGTTTCAACGCCACCAAAGTGTGATCAACATGCAATATTAAATTTTTTTGGCCAAAATAAAAAAGAAAAAAAAAAAAGAGAAGGATTTAGTCCAAATGCCCGGGATGAGCGCAACTTGCGGGCAGCCTTACATGATTGCTACAAATGATGGTTGACTTTTCTTATGCTTTAGGTGGTGGATTATTACGCTACATACGGACCTGTACGTCACATAAAACAAAAATATAACGAAACGTCGTCGTCATGCACTCTCGTCCTGCTCATCCGTACAAGTCGTTTGCACTTTCCTCGGCTTACTATTTATACCAGGTGATTGTTATTATGTTTTTAACAAACACATGATTTCTAGTTTCTTTCTCTCTTCACTGTGTGTTGTGCGTCTTTTTTTTTCTTTGTTCATTGTGAGTTATGAATGGTGGAACGATAGGGGGGGCCGGGCAAGTATAGATGTTGTACCAAGAGCAGCACCATAGACAAGTGACGAGGATGGATCAAAAGAAGAGGGTGGAAAGGACAAGATCAGCCAAAGAAGAAGAAGAAGAAGTAATTCTTGAGATGGTGGATATGAGTGGCATGGCTTTGAAATCTATACCGGATCCTTCTATCAATACAAGGTTCATCTGCAAATTAGATCTCTCCAACAATGATCTACAGGTGCTATGTCAAACTAGTATAAAGTTTTTTTTTTTCTATATGTATGTGTATTTTCACTATTTTGTCGTGCGTAAATATATACTTTTTTCGTTCCATTTTTGTGTGCGTTTTGTGTTCTCTTCTTTTACCGTGACTGCGGTACTTTTTCTTTTGGTGGGAAAAAATTCTTAGAAAGAAAGAAGGGAAATTAGGAAATAGAAAGCATGAAATTAAGAAGAAACTTTTAGTTACACATGGTTCCTACTCCTATACATGATATGGGTGAACCTTGGTGCATCAGTTTATGATTGGGAATGGCAAGGAAAGAGTCCATTTGATGGTTTATTGCTGTTTTAATTTTTTTTTTTTTTTAAGTTTCTTTTCAAGATGGAGGCCTTTAGGCCTAGCTAAGTGACGTTTGAAATGAAACTTTGGGTTTTTTTTTTTGAGCCTTTTCTTCTTTTGGGATTATTGTAGGAAGAACAGTTGGAATATTGTGTATTTTGGGTTGGTTGTTTTCCTAACATGCTTTGTACAAATCACCCAGAATTGTGTCATGCAAATTTTAAGAAGTTTTTTAATCCAAAGGCAGCTCTCAGTTGCTCACCACTTTGTTTTTTAGCTTCTAAGAAGCTAAACTAAGGGCAAAATGGTATATGCCAAAGTTTAATTTAATTTTGAACATCAAAGAAATTAGACTAGTTGTTTTCCAGCAAAGATAATAAAGTTGAGAGTATCTCTTAAAGTATCACTTGCTTGCATATGCAATGACTAACCTCAGATTTGAATGGTTTGTATATATGCTGATTACAGTACATTCTTTCTTCATATTTATTGTTTTAACTTTCTCTCACAAAATATTGTTCTAAACATGTTCGAATACTTATTTTCTTTTTCTCTACAACTCTAGTGCATTGGAGAATTTTTAAATTCTTTTTTTTTTAGTAGGGAAGAGGTGGAATTTAAGAAGAAGAGTAAGGGAAAGAGAATTGAAACGTAGAATTTCTAAGTTCTGGGATTTTAATTTCAACCAAGGCCTTCTCTACGTATTGGGGAGTTATTATGACTAATGATACATACAAAATAAGTTGGCTCATGATTCTTAAGAACTTGATGAAAGTGTAAATCAAGAAAAATATAAAGCTATAGCAGAGACCTTCTCTTATTAGGTTTTCCTAATTAATAAAATAATTAAATTCTCTTTTCCAAAGTGACCCTACTTCAGAAATTCTTTGAAAAGTAAATGATATTCGTTGATCATACTATTCATAAAGGACATTCATGGTATGAATATTGAACTTAATATGATCAAGTTAAGTTAGAGAGGTCAATACAATTTGACACAAATTGAGTTTTTTAGACCATATAGAGCAATGAAATAAAAATTGAGTTTTTTCTTATCCAATTTGACATGGATTGCAGACTATACCAGAGTCTTTAACAGCCAGACTACTAAACGTGATGGTGTTAGATGTGCACTCGAATCAACTCAAGTCTCTACCAAACTCCATTGGGTGCTTATCAAAGCTCAAGACATTGAACGCTTCTGGCAACATGCTTCAATCTCTTCCCAGAACCATTGAAAATTGCAGGTTGGTCATGCCACTTCATCAAACGCTGAGGTTGAAGAATCTTTTTTTTTTTCCCTTTCTTTTTAGACAACAATTAACGGACGTTGCTAATTCCCTCTTTATCAAAAGTCATAGTCCATGGTGCACATAGTTTAAAAAAAAAAAAGTAGAAGTAAAAATTGACTAGGATGCATTAATTGGCAGCATGCCCCTTACATAATTGCCTTAATGTTCAATATGATGTGGTTTGTTACTCCCTCTTATCAAGTTCAAGGTTCAAATTTTGGACCTTACCGTTTAGAGGTGAGAAATGTGCGGGAGGAGAGGGAGGGTAAAAAGATTAAAATAAAAAATACGATATGGTTTTTTACTCAAAGTTCTTACTTTTTGAAATTGCTTGAACGGTTAAATTGCTAAACAATTTTTTAGTGTTCCGACCTTTCAAACCATGAAAATTGCTTTGAATGGAAGCCAAAATAAACTAAATAACGGTACGTACACTGACTCTAAGTCAAATGTACATCATAATATATATTTTGTATATTCCTAGTCAAACCTTATCCATAAGCGATTAAAAATTCTTTAACTAATCATGCGCAAGAAAGTGCACTAGACCCTTGGAAAAAAAAAATATTCTACTCCCTTTAGACAATCTCACGTATCTCATAGCTTATTCGGAACTCAACATGATTTTAAACTAAACAGTTAGATTCAAAATTTTGTAATACTACTAAACAGCAACTGGTCATATTCTACCTGAGTGTTATGAGATGGCACACGAATTAGTCTGTCATATTACGCTAGTACATTTTCCTTTTTCCCCCCTTTCTGTGCGATCAGTACATTAAATTTAAAAAAATTGAATTGTTGACCAACAAATATATCCTAAATACGAGCATAAAAACCGAACGGAATATTCCAACAATGGTCAAATTATCTAAAGTATGATCATCTGCGAGATTCTTTGGTGGCCAAATTGGTCTTTTAATTGAAACTGATTGCAGTAGTAGTTGCATTGTAATCAATTGTACTTTTGTCTTTCTATAATAGCATGCTTGTACTTTCAAATCAAGTAGTTATGACTCAAACGGAGTACCTATTGCGAATGTAAACATTCACATGCAGCCCCGAAAAGAGGTTTAATAGGCATGCATGTGTTTTCTCCTTATCAAAAAACGATCTTGTTAAAGGGGTTAACTTCAATATTTCTTATATGCTCTTTAATCATGTTTTACTAGACTAAATACTTCATGAAATTGGATATGCACTCGTAATGTCCTTTAAAAAACATGAACAAATTGCAAAATGCGAGCCTTCTAGTCATGCTTCTTGACCTACTAGTTATAGTGTTATCCAATTCAATATAAACTACAACAATTTAATTTGGATTAATTTTTTCTACAATCATTTTATACAGTGACAAGTTTAGTGAATGCCACAACATCTAAATTTTTAAATTCTAAATTTTGCATATGTATCATATATCTAAATTCGAAAGTATATACACTGACAGTATATAAAAGATTTATCCATTTAATTGATGCATTCAAACTTTAATTCAATGACGTTTTCTTGTCGATGGCAGATCGCTGGTGGAGCTAAATGCAAATTTCAATAAACTGACTCAACTACCAGACACTATCGGATTTGAACTGATTAACCTCAAGAAACTCTTAGTCAACTCCAACAAGCTGGTCTTCCTCCCCATGTCCACTTCCCACTTGACCAGCCTTCAAATTCTTGATGCTAGATTAAACTGCCTTAGATCTCTTCCTGAAGATCTTGAAAATCTAATCAACCTCGAAGTCCTCAACGTTAGCCAAAATTTCCATTTCCTTGCAACCTTACCATATTCCATCGGTCTTCTCTTGTCCCTTGTTGAATTAGATGTGAGTTACAATAATATCACCACTTTGCCAGAGTCTATAGGGTGTCTAAAGAAGCTTCAGAAGCTGAGAGCTGAAGGAAATCCGCTCGTTTCGCCCCCGATGGATGTCATGGAGCAAGGGTTACACGTAGTGAAAGGATATCTGTGTGAAAAGATTAATGGCATGCATAATAACTCACCAAAGAAGACCTCATGGTTTGGGAAGTTGGCAAGGTGTAGTACGTTCAATGGTGCAAATATGCCTAGAGAAGATGGTGATAACTATATTATGCATAATGAAAGATCTATTGATAGCCTTTCTTCTCCTAAATATTTGGGCATGTTTTCTCCAAGAAGGCTCTTATCACCTAGGTCCTACTTTTCAAGATAATGGAATTACAAATCTTAGAGTTTCACTTTGGAAAGTCTGTGTATTGATTGTTGTATGGATAAATCTTAGAGTTTCAGTTTGGTAAATATGTATAATAGTGTATGGTGCTCTAACTAGGTGGGATTCAATGTAGTGAAGGAATGCTTACATTCTGGTGTCTTCTTGAATTCTTATTTTTAATTCTCTCTTTAAATTTTACGAAAGAGTGTATAAAATGGCATGCCAATACAATAGTTGTTCTAATGGTGCAGACCTTCATCATGGTCATGTAGTTTATGTACATGTTTCATCTTACAAATATATGCTTAGATATTACCCTCATCTAGGCTTTTTTTAATATTTTTGTTTAAAGAACGTTAATTTATATTGATATAGGAAGGTTGAGGTTCAGGAATTAGGATTCTAGGTTCAAATCCCCCGCCCCTTCTACGCTCTTTTAGTCCCGCCACTCTCCTACTGGAAAAAAAATGTAAAAAGAAATTTATATTGATACAGATGGAATTTACATCAAATCTAATTACCGAGCAAGTGTCCAGAAATTACTATACTACCTGTGAACCTGAGAGTGGGATAGAAGCCCTGCGTTCCATTCCTCCATATGCTTAGACATTACCATCATCTAGTGGGACAGTAGGATTTACTTTTGGGCTAACTATAGTTACCAAATGTTGAACATGTCATTCCAGAGAAGTAAATCGTCATTCTTATAGTCACTCAGCTTGTAGTTCTATGTTTAATGAATCATATAGGAGTTGATGTGTAAGTTTTCAAAGTATGAGGAATAAGGTGAGATTATCTAAAACTTTAAGGGAAAAAACACACTTCAATACCTCTACTTTTGTGGTGTGAATCAAATTTGGAGAAGTGCAATTTTGGTCCCAATGTTTAGCCTGTAAGTTGCCAATATATATATTATTTTTTATCAATCGGCATTTGTCTATCTTACATCCACTCCTTAGCCTATACTAAAGAGGAGGGCCCAACTGGATCATTGGAGAAACTGATGAGGACTAAACTATCACCGGATCAGGCGGGTGTACTATGCATCCATACGGATTTAAGCCACTTAAAGTGACAGCCACATATAGTAGCAAGTGGTGGGAGATAAAGTTTTAATCCTTGACCTCTCACCCCACCAACTCTTAAAGGTTATCATGGCGGCTCCCAATATTTTGTGTAAAAGAAATGTAGTCTCCAAAATTTCTAATTTTAGATAGATTTAGGATAATTGAAAGAAATTTGGTACTGCTTAACGATCAAAATCAAAATAGTCATTAGTCAACAGTTTTGGTTTGCATTTTTGGTTCTTTATTTTTGGTGTTTTGAATCATTATAGTCCCTTAAGTTTCAAATATTAATTTTGAGTGTTTCAAGATGAAATTAGGTGTGGATTGGGTTGAATTATTTTGAATTTGTACAAGAATTTTTAATAATAAAAAACATGACAAAGCTAAATAAACTTCTTTTCTCTCTTGTTTTTTAAATTTATTTATTTGATGCATTCATTCTACTCATTCCTTATATGTTTATTCTTTTTTGCACATTTAGTTTCAATTTTGATAAATACATCTAATTTTCATGAATAATTAATTGGTAATCAATTTTATCATTTTTTAAACTTATATTGATAATGAAGTTAATCATTCAACAATTGTTCTTTGGCATTTCAACAGGTAATCAACTAAATTTTAAATGAAATAAATATTTTACATAACAGTTTCAATAATTTAATGAAATTATCTATGTGCACGAACATAAGTATAAATGCATTAAAACTCTATTTTTGGAATATTATATTTTAATAAGAGGAAAAGAAAAGAAAATAACAACAAGAAGTTTTTCCAAAATTCATATGAGCACTTAATATTGAACATTTTCCTTTACTAGTTATTGTAGTCACAACTCTAAACCACAATCATTTGAAGCCTACACCAAGAAGTCATGCAAAATTTTGTGTAATTCTATTTAGAATAAAGTTATGCATTAAAATTAAGATCCTTCTCTTCTTCCACAAATTTTCTTTTTGAATATTATGTGTGCATTTTTATTTGATTGTAATTAATTTAACCAAGAGATGCTCTTCAGATTAAAGGATATTGTTGTGTTATTGTAAAGTGCCCTTGAGGATTTTTATAAAGATTTGAGGATGCATTTTCATAATTTTAATTTGATTGACATTTTAGTTCATCTGAGAGCCTTACATATGACTATTTGAAATACAAAGTACCATATTGATCAAAACTTCAAATATTAGGCACCAAACATGTAAAGTCAAAGACTGTTGACTAACACCGGCTTAAAAAATGTAAGGTCAAAATTTTTGACTAACAGCAACTTATTTTGACTGTTAGCAATCATGACTTTCTGTTAGCTGTCTTAAATATAAACTGAAGATAAAAAATCTTGGGGACCACATTGTTTTGGTTTAGGCATTAGGGATCTGTCAGGAACTTCATAAATAAGAGAGGTCGTTTTGTTCATAAAAGAATGCGTTTTGAGCTTAGGTGTTTAGATGCTGTGAAACTATGTCGTTAGACTTAAGTTGATAGTTAGTCTCTTAATTGTAGTTAGTTAGAAATAATTGCATAAATACCCCTTTTCATTGTAACCGAAAACAATTGAGTAAAACTTCCAAATTGGATTTTTTCTTCTTTCTCTCTCCTTTCTGTTATGCTCTCTCTTTTTCCCCTTTCTTCACTTTTCTTTCCCAGTCTCCCTTCTGTCTTTCCCTTGAAACTCCGGCGGCTAAATCCTAGAACCTGACTTTTGGTATCAAAACAGCCGATCCTTGGCTGCTGAGACATTTCCATGGCGGAAAATACTAGATATCGATCACTGGAGGATCAACTTAAGAAGCAAGAGAGTAGAATACAAGAAATGGTAGAAACCATGGCCGCGCTTCAAGCTTTGGTCAGAATGAGTTGCAGCAAAAATTGCATGATGAAATGGAGCACAATAACTCCAGGTTGGAGACAATAGTGGGGAATCTGGATCAGAAATTTAACAAGATGGACCAAGAGTTCAACACACTACTGAAGGTAATGATGAAGGAGAAAGGACTTCAGGATAGTGAAGAAGGGGCACCAGAACCACTTCTGTCAACCCCTCCCGCACATTTGAGACTGATGACCCCAACCGAGCTGCTAGGCCACCAACATGAGACAGAGGTAAAATGTTCCTACCTAATTTGCCAAGATTGGAGCTACCTATGTTTTCTTCTGGTAACCCTAGGGAATGGTTGAGGACATGTCAGAAGTATTTTCTGAATCATCAAATACTAGCGAACCCGAAAGTAGATCTGGTTGAAATGTTTTTGGAGGGAAAAACTGATAATTGGTTCCAAGGAGTGAAACTAGCCAGGCCTGGGTTGTCCTGGGAAGAATTTAATGAACTGTTGTGCGAAAGGTTTTCTAGAAAAGGATCCCTTGACATAGTGGAGGAGTTTAATAAACTACAACAAAAAGGGACAGTCAAGGAATATGAGGAAAAATTTGAAGAACTAAAAACACTAATGCCCACCAGGAACCCAGACTAGATGAGTCATAATTCGTTTCCAGTTTTATTAGTGGCCTAAAGGATGAAATCAAACCTATGGTGAAGATGTTCAAACCACAAGCCTTGCCAAAGGCCTTTGAAGTGGCTGAATTACAGGAATATGCCTTGGAAATTCAGTCTAAACAATCTAAACCATCTGGGAAAGTTGCAGTAGAACCTAAATTTGGAATGTATAAGAATCATGCCAATGGTCAGAGCCATTCTAACTCATACAAGCTTCCTGCAATTACCCCTAATACCAAGAAGAATGAGTATGTACACAAGGAGATTGGGAGGATCTCAGCTGAAGAATTGCAGTACAGATGTAAACACAATTTGTGCTACATGTCTGGAGAGAAGTTTGGAATTGGGCATCAATGTAAATCAAGGAACCTGAACTTTTTGGGTATTGAGGAAAAGGAAGAGGCTGACTTTGAGAATGCAGTAGGGGAGCAAGATGAACACACAGGCAGATTGGGTGAACTTACAGAGGTGTCCTTGAATGCTTTGTTAGTGCTATAAAGAGAAAGTCAATTATGTTGATGGGTAATATGGGAGGCTTGCCAGTTAAGATCCTAGTTGACACAGGAAGTTCTGATAGCTTTATTCATCATAGGCTTGTTAATCTGTTGCATCTCCCCATCAAGCTATAAATCCCTTCATTGTGACCTTGGCAGATGGGACTAACATAACCAGTGGAGCAATTTGTCCTAAGGTGGTGTGGTTAATACAAGATTACCAGTTCCAGTTTGATCTGAAGGTAATGGAGTTGGAAGGATGGGATATCATCCTGGGTGTAGGTTGGATGTGTCAATTCAATCCTATTACTTTTGACTTTCACTCTCTCAGCATTGCTCTTAGCAGTAGGGGAGAGCTACTTCACCTCGAAGGCTTCATTAATCAACCTGCAATGGAGCTAGTGAGAGGCAAAGATCTCAGATCTTTTATTCAGGAGAAACAAAGAAATTGTGCACCACTGCATGCAGAACTCAAAAGAGATCGAGAGTTAATTATTCTAGAGCCAATAGAAAGGGTCCTGCAACAATACCCTTAGGCATTTGCTACTCCAAAAGGGCTACCCCCAGAAAGGGAGCTGGATCATCAGATTATCCTTAAGCCAGGGGCTGAACCCTTTAAACTCAAACCATACAAGTACCCTCATTTCCACAAAGCAGAAATTGAAAACAGGTTGCTGAGATGCTCACAAATGGAACCATTATACACAATACAAGTCCTTTTGCCTCACCCGTATTGCTAGTTAAAAAGAAAGACAATTCCTGGAGGTTGTGTATAGACTACAGAAAACAGAATGAGTAACTGTCAAAGATAGGTTTCCCATCCCCAATATTGATGAATTACTAGATGAGTTACATGGTACAAAGTATATGTCCAAACTAGATCTCAGGGTTGGTTACCACCAACTGAGAGTTAAGACAGTAGACACCCACAAGACTGCTTTTCTAACACATCATGGACATTTGAATTCTTGGTAATGCCTTTTGGACTGACAAATGCACTAGCTACTTTTCAGGCATTGATGAACAGGATATTTCAGCCGTTTCTGAGGAAGTTTGTGCTAGTATTTGTTTTTTGATGATATCCTAGTTTATAGCCCCACTTTAGAACTTCATGCACAACACTTAAAAACTGTACTCAGAGTTTTAGCTGATAACCAACTTTACTGCAAGAGATCCAAATGCTCTTTTGCT